GGGGGGTCAGAGTAAGGAGTAGTGGGGGGTCAGAGTAAGGAGTAGTGGGGGGTCAGAGTAAGGAGTAGCGGGGGGGGTCAGAGTAAGGAGTAGCGGCCATTGTTTTTAGCTGTTAGGAAGTCATTAGTGAGTATTAGGGGGCGGAGTCAGTTGAGTATTAGGAGGGCGGAGTCTCAGTAGTCTCATTCTAGGGGGGGCGGTCCCATGCATTGTTCTGGGGGTGGATACTTCTTCCTCCTAGGCAATGCCTTAAGTCTAGTGGATTGGACCATGAACTACTATGCCTCTGATCCACCCTCCTCCATCCCGGTGCCACCTCTCCATGTTCCCCCACCTGATCCCCATTCTCTTCCCCTCGCCCATGTGACCTTCCGTTCTTCTCTTCCCTACCCGCCCCCTTCTGTGCCATCCTCAAAAGGTCCAATGGTGCCACACGGGGCCCACCTCATCCATATCCTAAGGTCACGTGACTGTCAGGGCTCTGCACGGCGCGCATTATATGCCGGAACCTCTTTATATGGATTCTTCCATCTTCTCTCATATCAAATCCAATACAAACTTCATCCAAGACAAAAAAGATTTAATGATACAAATCTGAAGACGACTTTCCTCCATCGACATACAAAGAATCTCATCGTTATAACAACAGAAATATTTCATCTTCATCATAGGATCCGTCTGATCTCTGATGATTCATATAGAAGACATTTCCCGCACCCAGGACACTAACACACCTCGTGGGTTGTGTGGGTACCATGAAGACTTCTGTGAGAAACATCTCCCGCACTCAGGACAGGACAGTCGATTTTTCCTGCCTGTGGCATACCTGATGTATCTTAAGACTGGACTTCCATGAAAAACATTTTCCACACACAGAACAGGAATACCGCTTTTCGCCAGTGTGGGACCTTTGATGCGCATTAAGATTGCATTTCTGTGAAAAACGTTTCCCGCATTCCGAGCAGGAATACGGCTTCTCCCCAGTGTGAGATCTTTGATGTGTAACAAGTTCATATATCCGTTGAACACATTTCCCGCACTCAGAGCAGGCATGCAGCTTGTCCCCTGTGTGAGATGTTTGGTGATCAACAAGTTCTGATTTGCACTGAAAACTTTTCCCACACACAAGGCAGAAAAAGAGCTTTGCATGCATGTGGAATTGTTGATGCTGAGTTAGACTCGTTTTCTGTGAAAAACCTTTTCCACACTCATTACAGGAATATGGCTTCTCACCCGTGTGAGACCTCTGATGTCTTTTAAAATTGGAATTATCTGAAAAACTTTTCCCACACTCAGGACAGGAAAATGGCTTCTCCCCTGTGTGAGATCTTAGGTGTCTAACAAGGTCTGCATTCTCTGCAAAACATTTCCCACATTCAGGGCAAGCATATGGCTTCTCCCCCCTGTGCACATTTTGATGTCTAGAAAGATTGAACTTTCGTGAAAAACTTTTCCCACACTCACGACAGGAAAATGTCTTCTCCCCCAGAATTCCGGCACCATCCCCCACAGGACGAGGCCGCTCAGAGTCAGAGGGATTCCATGGTCTATCCACACTGTGACGTCCACCATCCATAGCTGAGCTCATTGTCTCCTGCCCCGCACAATCTGCTGTGATGTCCTCATCTTCCATCTTACAACCTGGAGATAAAGTCAGACGATCCTTTGAGGGTTCCTCCATGGCGTGTCCTGGAAACATAGAGACACATGATGGAGAGATATGAGAGGGTGAGATGACTTCACTCAACATTCCATCTGGATCAGGAGGTCTGAGGGAGCAGATGTTCTATGAGGAGGTCCCAACCAGCCGGGACTCCTCCCATCTTCAGTCAAAGGGCCTCCTCCCAGATCACTTCTACATTGACACAGCCTTGTCAAAAGAGGCGGAGCCAATAGGGACTGGGAGGAGCAGACTCTTCACCCAACCACAAGCCTAGGCACTGGGTCATGTGACCTCTGAGAAACAAGAAGATCAGAGTACAGACTGGCAGTGACAGAAGAACATAATATGACCCACCTGTGCTGATCTCTGTAGGCGTGTCCTCCTCTATGGACGTCCTCCTCATTCCGGCCTCCTCCGTATATCGCTGATCATCCCTCACATACGTCTCTTCTACTTCACCCTCAACTTTCATCTTCATCAGATCTTCACCCTAAACCAAGAAAATGAAAGTAAATATCTTATAATATCCACCTATGGTCTCCAGGAGTCTCGTTCATGTTCTAGATGCTCCGTCCCACCTGATTATCATGGGGGAGGGTGAGATCATCCTGGGTGGAGTCCCGGGAATACAGGGGGCGGGGACATCTCTCATGGTGGGGGACGGTGAGATCTTCCTGGGTGGGGTCCCGGGAATTCAGAGGGCGGGGACATCTCTCATGGTGGGGGATGGTGAGATCTTCCTGGGTGGAGTCCCGGGAATACAGGGGGCGGGGACATCTCT